ATTTAATTTAATTTAATTATATTAGTTTAATATTAATGGATTACTACTGACAGCATTTATTGATAAATATATCCTAAGCCCATCTCATGATAAAAACGGCACATTTGGTGACTTAAAATTATTAAAAGAAGGCACTATGTATAAGATTGTTTTAATCTGATAGATCAATAAAAGATTAAATAGCTTAACCACTGTCAAAATGTAAAAATAAAAAATAAAAAAAAATAGAGGATCCAAAAATTCAAACTTTTTTTTGATTTATTAGTTTTTATTTTTATAATTGTATATCTCCATTACGAGGAAACTTTCCATTGTAAACAAATATCACACTAAAATTTGCGTTACTTAAGAAGTCAAAAGCCGGTCTACACTTTCTCTCACAATAAGCAGTATAATCAAGCCATCGGATTAAAAGCAAAATTGTCGTTCCATTCGTCTATCTGTTCGTTCACTTGGCCACTGGTAAGAAATGCTATGGGAACACGAATCCTCCAGCTCAAAGATTAGGATAATATGACCGAACCATACTATTGTCACAGCTTTTTTGGAAATTCTCCTGGTAAAAGGAGAGAAGAGACAAACAAGAGACTTAGAAGAATTTCAACATATTTTAGTCTAACCTTTGACGTATGGAGAACGCTTGACTCTCACCGAGTCTCACATGACTAGGAGAACATGACAAAGGTGAAAGTATTCGTGGGCGCGTAGAGAGGAGGACTATATATATAGATAAAATATTGGGTGGTGCTGCCACGACAGTGCTTTCAGGTCTCAAGGACATGCCTTTAACTGGAGAGCAAGCAATGACCCTGCAAAGCGATTGATAAATTTCGCATCATAATTCTCTGCTACTTGGTTTCATATTTCTTTCGTTGCTACTTTACTACATATATTATCATTTCAATGAGATGGGAACAAATTATGATTTAAAACAGCGATTTTTAAAAGCTTTTTTTCTGTTTTTTTTTTTTTTTTTTTTTCTTTTTGATGCATTTACATTCACTTGAAAAAAAAAAAAAAATTGAAAAACTTTCAAAATCCAAACTTAATTTTCGATTCTTCACTTTAGATATGTAAAATTAAAGTAACACTCACAATCAGTTACTTCTTAAACCAACCACACGAGTCCAAATTTGATTATAGTTTTAAATTTATAGTGCAGTAAGAAGTTTTATTTCGTTTGGTATTAAATTTATTTTTGCTGTTTCCAACCGAATGTATACAATTATCTCAAGCAACTTATCTGCTCACTGTGTAGTGTAATATACGTCAAATTATACAGTTGTTCATAATTAATTACAATCAGTTCAACAATAAATCCTTATCTACACAAGGTAAAAAGATCACAAGGGGAAATACGTAGATTATTTGTTAAGCTCGTCGTGGTTATCAAAAGAGGAAATAATTATACTGAATTAGAGGGATATACCTTCTTTTTCATGACTTTTAAATAAACAAATTTTGGACTTTGGACTCTCAGTATTTTTTGTAATTGTTTTTTCGAGAATTTTTTGATGCCATTTTCACTGGAAAAGCAATTATTAGGTATTAAAAAAATTAAATAAAATCCTGTAGATCCAAAACACTCACTGTTAATTAATACATTCATGACGTCACAAGGACGGTTCATATTTGTGCTAGTTGTAATAAAAAAATTAGTTTTTCATAAAATTTATTTCCAGTTTTAGTACTTTTTAAATTAAATAGTGTTTATGCGCAATTAACAGGTATAAAGTATCACTTACTCTTTCTGGTAACTTTACACCACCTGCAAAAGTAAAAATCGTTGTTTAATAGTATACTGTAAGTTCCTTAACCTATTTTACTTATCTAGATTTATGTAAACACAAATACTTTAGTTTGTAACTTTTGTGAATGAACAATATAATGTACATTAGGAATATTTCAAAAGACTCTAAGATTAAGAAATAAGATTATTCCAAATTTTTCAGCAGATTAAACAATAAACTGAGTCACTGGTACTTCATGAGTGACTTATATATGTATAATAACTTGATTACGAAACTGTTCTATTTCAAATGTATTTTTTCACAATAGTATGCGGAACAAGGTGTTTTCCGCACTACTTTTAGTGTGGAAAATCCATTTTTCCGCCCTCGGGTGGTTTTGGGAAGCTGGTACTTCCTCGGGCGAAAAAGCAGTTTTCCGGAACTCGTTCGAAAAGTCTTCTTTACGAACCTCGTTACGTCCCTCGCCTTCGGCTCGGGCCGCAAACCTCTCGGTTCGCAAACAAAGACTTTTCAAACTCGTAGGAAAACTACTATTTCTACATAGTGTGAGAAAAAGTGTGTGGGAAAGGTTTTTGCTGTCCAGTTTGCGGAAAAGATGTGTGGCAAAAGTTTTTTCACACACCGGGGAGAATTTTGCTACACATCAAAAATTACGGATTGATATACTGTGTGTGTGCAACTATCACGACTCTATCTGGTGTAAGTTTCAACTCTTCACTAAACTTCTTTCTTAATGACTTTTCTTTATTAATTTCATTAAACTATATCATATAAAAATTTCAGAATATTTCATTGGAAACCACAATCCCATTATGTTGGTGCGGGATTTTTTAACAAAATTTTTTACAGTTGTAAAATTCTTCGAGAATATTTTAAGAATTCAAAGTTTATTTTTTTTAAATAAATTTTTACTGTAAACAACTTTCTGCCTTTATATTTGA